GGGGGGTGGGGGGAAATGATACATTTGAACAATGAAGCGTTGGAATGTAAAATGCTGTATTGTTTAATTCTGTGAGTGTCGTTTTTGTGTCGGCGACAGCCCGGCACGTGGTGGAGGAGGAGAAGGACATCAAGCGAGCCATGGAGTTCCTGCACGAGTGTGACCGCCTCAAGATTGAGGACATCCTGCCCTTCTTCCCCGACTTTGTCACCATCGACCACTTTAAGGTTTGTCACATTTTGTCACCATCGACCACTTTAAGGTTTGTGATTTTGTCACCATCGACCACTTTAAGGTTTGTGATTTTGTCTCTATAGACCACTTTAAGGTTTGTGATTTTGTCACCATCGACCACTTTAAAGTTTGTCATTTTGTCACCATAGTGTGATTTTGTCACCATTGACCACTGTAAGGTTTGTGATTTTGTCTCTATAGACCACTTTAAGGTTTGTCATTTTGTCACCATTGAACACTTTAAAGTTTGTGATTTTGTCACTATTGACCACTTTATGGTTTGTCATTTTGTCACCATCGACCACTTTAAAGTTTGTCATTTTGTCACCATAGTGTGATTTTGTCACCATTGACCACTGTAAGGTTTGTGATTTTGTCACCATCGACCACTGTAAGGTTTGTGATTTTGTCACCATCGACCACTGTAAGGTTTGTGATTTTGTCACCATTGACCACTGTAAGGTTTGTGATTGTGGTTGGTTGGCGGATGCTCTGATGTGGTTTGCTCCTTCTTTCCTATCAAACATCTATCATGCTGATCTCTCCTCCTCCTTTTTCTACGTTTGTTACCTTCTTGTAGCACCTCTAATCTTTGTCTCTTTTAACTTATATGACCTAATTGTGTTGAAAGTGTCATAAAACTTTTACTAAAAACTGAAGAGCAGTTTTGACTGTATGCGCCGTGACACATTTATTAATGGAGAAGTGAAAGCTTTAGGTGTGCAAATTGAATTTTTTTTTCCTCATCGAATTGTTTCGTGAATGTTTCCCCAGGATGCTATCATCTCGTCCCTGCAAGAATACAACCAGCACATCGACAGTCTGAAGGAGGAGATGGAGGAGGCCACGCAGAGCGCCGAGGAGATCCGCAGAGAGATACAGAGCTTTCGGAATAAGTAAGAATGATAAGGATAAAGATTACTTCTATAGAGAGATACAGAGCTTCTGGAATAAGTAAGAATGATAATGATAAAGATTACTTCTAAAGATAATAAAGATTACTTCGAAAGATAAAGATCACTTCGAAAGATAATAAAGATCACTTCGAAATAGAAATACAGAGCTTCTGGAATAAGTAAGAATGATAATGATAAAGATCACTTCTAAAGATAATAAAGGTCACTTTTAAAGAGAAATATAGAGCTTCTGGAATAAGTAAGAATGATAATGATAAAGATCACTTGTAAAGAGAGAGAGTTTCCGGAATAAGTAAGAATGATCATAAAGACCACTTCTAAAGATAATAAAGATCACTTCTAAAGATAATGAAGATCACTTCTAAAGATAATGAAGATCACTTTTAAAGAGAGATACAGAGTTTCCGGAATAAGTAAGAATGATGATCTTTAAGACTACAGGGGAAAAACGACGGTAGTCACAAACTGAAAATCGTGAGGATACCAATTTTGAACGCTAGTAGACTCTTAATTGTATTTCTGTTCAACTGTTGGTTGATTATTGTTGTTAGGTTTGCCATTCAACAACGCTTAACAATGAACCACCAGTCAAACTAATATGAACTTACGAGTCCACAAGCTTTTCAAATTGGCACCCTCACAATTTCCAGTTCGTGACTACTGTTGTTTTTCCCCTGTGCTCTTCAAATGCATGTACGAACAATATTCACACACACACACACACACACACACACACACACACACACACACACACACACACACACACACATCTACTTGCTTATCACACGCACACGCTTACAGTTCGTTACAAAATTAGCATGTACAAATACATAATAAAATAATATACACAATGCAATTAGCAAAATACATAAATACACTACTCCTGCACTCACTTTACATTCCTTACTAGATTGTAACATGCAAAGAAAAGAAGGAGGAGAGATAAGGACGATAGACGGTTGATTGGAAAAAAGGAGAAAAACCACACACGAGCACACCCACCAACCACCCACCACCTATTTCCTCCACAGATACGCGTTTGTGAAGGCTGAGGACAAATGCTCCGCCTGCTCCTACCCGCTCATGTCCCGCGCCTTCTACCTCTTCCCTTGTGGCCACAAGTTCCACATGGATTGTCTTATATCGGAGGTAGGTCTGTGCGGCGACGCAAGATCCCAGAAATATCCCGTGGTCAGATCGACTGTTCGGAGTACGACTCTGCAGTACTGCTATAACTCGTTCACTTTCGTCTGACCAGAGTTGAAATGAGTTAAAAACAAATCGCTCCATTTAATCTTTCTGGGTCTTTGCACTCGGGTCTGAAAGTTCAGCGACCAACATAATCTAAAATCCCACCTCCAACAAACCGCAAATATCTACTCAAGATCAGTGGGTATATTTTTATCGAAAGCGAGACAAATTAAAACGCTTTAAGATAACACCCCAATAAATTGACGAGCCTGATTTTACCTTGTCGTAACACAAATGTTCTGTAGCGATTAGTTGACGGTGGCACAGAGATTTGTCGTTTATGTTTGTGAATGACCTTATTGCCTGCTCTGTACCCCCCACCACATTTCCCAGGTATTGCCGAGTCTAGGAGCGTCCAAAAAGAATCAAGTGGAAGCGTTGCAAAGGAAGTTGGCGGAGAGTGAGTCTGGGGTTGTGCAAAAATTAGCGGGAGCTGTCGCAGGGATCAAGGACATGGATGTCAAGGTCAGTTGAGATATCGGGGAATTGTTGCATTTTAAAGGCAATAGAGTTTTTAAATATACAATCTAGCGAACACACAGCGAAATCGAAGGGATGTAGAAATCTTTGCCTCTCTCTCACACACACACACACACACACACACACACACACACACACACACACACACACTCTCTCGCACACATACACATACATCATACACACACACCTCATACACACACACACACACACATGAACATGAGTACACACACACATACACACGCATAAGTGCGCACACACACACATGATGATTGTTTAAATGGATGAATATTACTGGGTGATCTCCCCTGTTGCCCATATTTTAGGCTTATACACGCCTGAACTAAAATATTCAAAATCTTTGCCCCAAAGGGAGTAAAGGTTTTACTGTGTACGAAAGTAAAAAAATATCATATGTGCCTTGACAATTAAGTCTATAATATACTTTTTCTTCTTCTATTTTCTCTGAAATTAGATTTAACCTCAGGTTTTCTTTCTTTCATTTTTTTTGTTTGTTTGCCTATTTTATATAGCTTTTAATGTAAGAAGTTTCAAGCGTAAGAAAAACGTGTTTTATCACATGGGAATGCTTGTCATAGTTGATATGACTGACACATCTCTTGTACGTTTCAACTTGTATGCTACTCTTCCATTTGCACATCTCTTTTCAATTTGTATGTTTAACTTGTACGTCTCTTTTCTACTTTACATCTCTTTTCAACTCGTACGTCTCTGTATATGTGTTGTATCATCATTGGAACTGATGCCACTGACACTTCGCACATAATATGTTTCAACTCGTACGTCTCTGTATCTGTTGTATCTTGTAACTTTATGTCACTGACACTTCATACATATGTTTTCAACTCATGCGTCTCTGTATTTGTGTTGTATCATCTGATGAACTGATGTCACCGACACTTCACACATATGTTTCAACTCGTACGTCTCTGTATCCATCTCCAGATACATCTGATGTGATATGTGTATCATTGTCAGCTTTATTTTTCTCTTCATATTGAATTTTTTATTTGAAAGTAATATATAATTTATGTATATATCTATGTATATATCTACATGTGTTTTACCATTCCTGTAGAGCCAAGAAACTTATTCCACTGGGACAATAAATGAAGTATTTTGTCTTATCTATCTAGGCCAAGCTTGATGAGCTGGTGGCCTCCGAGTGCATCTTGTGTGGAGACTTCATGATCAGGTACACTTCCTCTCCTATTTCTTTTTGCCACCGGGTTGAAATCTTTGTATTGTGTCGGGTTTCATAGCGGGTGGTCGGAGGACGCCACTGGTAGGTTCTTCTTCTTTCCCCCCCCCCCCCCCACCCCCCCCCCAATTGTATTTTTTTTGTGTTTTCTCAAGTTTTTTCCCACGCAAAAAAAGGACGTTTTGGGGTGAGAGGGAAATCCTTTCCCCCAAACTTAAACTCACGTTAAATTGGAAAAATCATTTTGGTTGTTTTTTTTTTTTCACAGAGTGAGACACTGGTTCACACATTTTTTCTATTGGTTCAGGTTTTCTCCTTTTCAAGGTAGAAGTATTTCCAAACCCCCCCCCCCCCCCCCCCCCAGACTCCCCCCCCTCCGACTGCTATTTAGATATATGGGAGGTGGATTTTGACCCTGCCCGACAGGGCTAATCCAGGCTGAGAGGGATACAACTTCCTAGAAGAAAAAGATACCATGTGTGTGTGAACTTTATGTGGGTGGTTGGCGGGTGCTCTGGTGTGGTTTGCTCCTTCTTTCCTATCAAACAGCTATCGTCTTTATCACGGCTCCTTCTTTCTTTGTTTGTTACTCTATTGTAACACCTCTAATCTTCGGCACTTATATGACCTTATTGTGTTGCAAGTGCCGTAAAACTTTTATTAAAACCAACTGTGTGTAGTTTATGAAAATTCTCCCTAAACGGTTTGGTTCTATTCAGCGTGCTCATGGCATTTTAGACCGGTCTGCTGGTTGCACATCTTGCCCAGTGGTTCTTCCATTCTTCTTTGTAGTTTTTTTAAATGTAGTTTTTTTGTACTTGTGAGTGGTGTTGCTTTTGTTGATAGGCTGTGCTGGATGTGTTCCTGTTTTAGTTAGTCTTGTCTGCTTTGTCGCTGCCGTGAATATTTGTAGGTGATTGGTGGGTGCTCTGGTGTGGTTTGCTCCTTCTTTCCTATCTAACATCTATCATCCTGATCTCTCCTCCTCGGTGGGTGTTTGGTGGGTGCTCTGGTGTGGTTTGCTTCTTCTTTCCTATCTAACATCTATCATCCTGATCTCTCCTCCTCGGTGGGTGTTTGGTGGGTGCTCTGGTGTGGTTTGCTTCTTCTTTCCTATCTAACATCTATCATCCTGATCTCCCCTCCTTCTTTTTTGTGTTGGTTACTCTCTTGTAACGCCTCTAATCTTCGGCACTTATATAACCTTATTGTGTTGCAAGTGCTGTAAAACTCTTACTAAAACTAAACTAAGCCATGAATATTTGTTCCCGTGTCTGTGGTGTAGTGGTTAGGCACTTCGGTGTCACACGCAGGAGGCCTTAGTTCCATTCCTGAGTAGGGAGAACTATTACAGAGTATCTCGGCCTTTCTACTTGGGTATCGTATCCCTCTCAGCGCGGGTCAGCCCTGACAGGCAGGATGGGAAGTCCACCTCCGAAATGATCTAAATTGTGTACATGAGGTCATAGAAACATGCAGTACAATAAAACAAAAAAAATCATATATATAATTCATGTAAATGTTTTTTAGAAATTCAGATTATATATAATTTATATATAATTATATATATAAATATATTTTTTGATATCATATGTATAATTCGTATAAATATATCTTTAAAAGAATCATTATATATATATATATATAATTATATGTTTTTGTCAAACTGTCTCCCTCAGGTGCGTGGACAAGCTGTTTGTGGAAGATGAGGAGTGGGCCCTGGTTGCCACGGAGTGGGAGTAACTGCGCAGCGTGTTTTGTGTGCTCCGTGTTTGTGTAGTGTGTGTTTGTGTAGTGTGTGTTTGTGTAGTGTGTGTTTGTGTAGTGTGTGTTTGTGTGCGCTATGTTTGTGTAGTGTGTGTTTGTGTGCGCTATGTTTGTGTGTGTTCTGTGTCTGTGTAGTGTGTGTTTGTGTGCGCTATGTTTGTGTAGTGTGTGTTTGTGTGAGCTATGTTTGTGTGTGTTCTGTGTCTGTGTAGTGTGTGTTTGTGTGCGCTATGTTTGTGTAGTGTGTGTTTGTGTGCGCTATGTTTGTGTGTGTTCTGTGTCTGTGTGTGTTTGTGTGCGCTATGTTTGTGTAGTGTGTGTTTGTGTGCGCTATGTTTGTGTGTGTTCTGTGTCTGTGTAGTGTGTGTTTGTGTGCGCTATGTTTGTGTAGTGTGTGTTTGTGTGCGCTATGTTTGTGTGTGTTCTGTGTCTGTGTAGTGTGTGTTTGTGTGCGCTATGTTTGTGTAGTGTGTGTTTGTGTGCGCTATGTTTGTGTGTGTTCTGTGTCTGTGTAGTGTGTGTTTGTGTGCGCTATGTTTGTGTGTGTTCTGTGTCTGTGTGTGTTTGTGTAGTGTGTGTCTGTGTAGTGTGTGTTTGTGTGCGCTATGTTTGTGTGTGTTCTGTGTCTGTGTGTGTTTGTGTGTGCTATGTTTGTGTGTGTCTGTGTCTGTGTGTGTTCTGTGTCTGTCTGTGTAGTGTGTGTCTGTGTGTGTTCTGTGTCTGTGTGTGTGTGTCTGTGTCTGTGTCTGTGTGTGTTCTGTGTCTGTGTCTGTGTGTGTCTGTGTGTGTTCTGTGTCTGTCTGTGTCTGTGTGTGTCTGTGTCTGTGTGTGTTCTGTGTCTGTCTGTGTCTGTGTCTGTGTGTGTTGTTTTGGGGAAGATGAGGAGTGGGCCCTGGTTGCCACGGAGAGGGAGTGACCGGGTGGCGTGTTGTGTGTGCTCCGTGTCTGTGTAGTGTGTGTGTGTCTGTGTGTTTTGTGACGGCACGGCTCATTCTCTGTGTGCGCTGTATCTGTGTGTGTGTGCTGTGTGTGTCTGTGTGCTCCGTGTCTGTGTAGTGTGTGTCTGTGTGTTTTGTGACGGCACGGCTCATTCTCTGTGTGCGCTGTATCTGTGTGTGTGTGTGCTGTGTGTGTCTGTGTGTTCCGTGTCTGTGTAGTAGTGTGGGCTGTGTTTGTGTTCCCTGTGTCTGTGTGCATATGCGCTGTGTCTGTGTTTGTATAGTGTGTGAGTCTATGTGCACTGTGTCTGTGTTCTCTGTGTTTGTGTGCTCTGTGTCTGTGTAGTGTGTGGCTTTTTCCTTGTAGCAGCCATAAAGAACGAATGTTTAAAACTAAAAGTTGGTGAGAATTTCGGGTACTGCTCTGATAAACTTAGTCAGTGCTTCTCTTTTTTGGTTTTTGTTTTTGTTTTTGTTCTTCTTGTTTTCTCTGTGATTGTTTTCTCTTTTATTTGTGCTTCTTTTTTCCTTTGTTTTTTATCTCCTTCTCAACTGCCCCACCCAACCCTCTGTCTTTCTCTCCGTCTCAACTGTGTCTCCATTTGTTATAAAACACTCTACTCCTTCCTCTTTGTTTTGACATCCTTGTCTGTCAGAATGAGGTATTTACTGCCTAGGACTGTAGAGAGTTGTCAAAAAAATCCCTTTTGCACTCTCTGAAACAGGCGGTTGGAAGGTGTCGCTTGTGTGGTTTGTTTCTTCTTTCCTATCAAACATCTGTTGTCCTTATCTCCCCTTCTTCTTTTTTTAAATGTTTGTTACTCTCTTGTAACACCTCTAATCTTCTGGCGCTCATATGACCTTATGTAGCTGCGAGCGCCGTAAAACCTCTACTAAAACTAACTCTCTGAAACAGGCGGTTGGAAGGTGTCGCTGGTAGGTCTTACTTCTTTTGTACTCTCTGAAACAGGCGGTTGGAAGGTGTCGCTGGTAGGTCTTACTTCTTTTGTACTCTCCTTCTGTAGTTTCTGTCCTTTAGTCTTTCTTATACCCTGCTCTAGTTGACCGTAATGTCCTGTCAATGTGCTTCTCTTTACTCTATCAGGAAGGTCTTAGTGAGAATATGACTTTTGAAATTTGAATCGTTTATCTGTCATTAGATTAAATGAAGAGAATAAAGTGCTATTATTGTTGAGTGAGTTAGAAACATTCCTACTGTCATTTGATCATTTGAATTATGCGTGTTTGTGAGTGTGTGTGTATGAGTGTGTGTGTGTGTGTGAGTGAGTGAGTGTGTGTGTATGTATGTGTGAGTGTGTGAGTGAGTGTGTATTTATGTATGTGTGTGTATGTTTGTATGAGAGTGTGTTTGTGAGTGAGTGAGTGTGTGTGTATGTATATGCGTGTGATTGAGTGTGTGTGTATGTATATGTGTGTATGTTTGTATGAGTCAGTGTGTGTGTATGTGTGCGTATGTTGCTTTTCTATGTTTTCATCCTCTGACATGTATCTTCTGATGCGTGTATTGTACATTTGCATGACTATCTGTCGTACAATATCATTGTTTTTTAAGAAACATTCTTCTATTTTTGTTAGACAGAGTCTACCCCTGTGTGAATGTGAAAATAATAATTTGCTATTCGCAAAATGTGTGACTGTTAAAACAGTTATTGGTAATTTGCAAAATGTTTGAATGTTAGAACAGTTATTTGCTATTTGCAAAAATGTGTGAATGGAAAAACAGTTATTTATTATTCCCAAATTGTGTGAATGTGAAAACAGTTATTTGCTATGCGCAAAATGTGTGAATGGGAAAACAATTATTTGTCATTTTCAAAATGTATGAATGTGAAAACAGTTATTTATTCTCAAAATGTGTGAATGCGATCTAATGCTATGGTACAATGCAGTGGTTTAGTTTGTCTCATGTGATGCCGTGCGCCGTTTGAACTATTTGCCTTCAACAGGGTTCACAGAATACTCGATGCTTTCTCTTTATAAGTTGTTGATTTGTGTGAGTGAGAGTGCTTGTCAGGCTTAGGTGCAGATAAATGGATAAATGTTCCAGATAATAAACTACGTTTTGTGAGATAATTCTGCAGATATATGGATTAATGTTCCGGATAGTAAAGTACATTTTGTGAGAGAATTCTGCAGATAGATGGATAAATGTTCCGGATAATAAACTACGTTGTGTGAGATAATTCTGCAGATAAATGGATAAATGTGCCGGATGATAAGGTATGTTTTGTGAGAGAATTCTGCAGATATTTGGATAAAGAGTATGTTTTGTGAGAGAATTCTGCAGATAGATGGATAAATGTTTCGGATAATAAAAGATGCTTTGTGAGATGATTCTGTTGGTTCATGGTTGTTGAGCTTGTATTGTTTACCAACGGATCTTTATGTCGATTTTGAGTGGCTGGCGGGTGCTCTGGTGTGGTTTGTTTCTTCTTTCCTATCTATCAAACATCTATCGTCCTGATCTCTCCTTCTTCTTTTTTGTGTTTGTTACTCTCTTGTAACCCCTCTATATCTTTGGCCACTTGTGTGACCTTGTTGTGTTGCAAGTGCCGTAAAATACTTACTAAAACTAAAATCTCTATGTCGATTCCAGTGAAGATAAAATAGAAACAACAGAAATGGTGTTTTATAGGAGACTCGAGAATTTCATGGAAGGATAAGAAATTAAAATATTGAGGTTGTACTGAAAGAAGCCTATGTCCTGCTTTCTAATTATAAACAATCAGTGGGTGGTTGGCGGGTGCTCTGGAGGGGTTTGCTCCTTCTTTCCTATCAAACATCTATCGTCCTGATCTCTCCTCCTTTTTTTGTGTTTGTTACTCTCTTGTAACACCTCTAATCTTTGGCACTTGTGTGACCTTATTGCGTTGCAAGTGCAGTAAAACACTTACTAAAACTAAAATCTCTATGTCGATTCTAGTGAAGATGAAATAAAAGCGACTGAAATCGTGTTTTATAGGAGACTCGAGAATTTCATGGAAGGATAAGAAGAAATTAAAATATTGAGGTTGTAGTGAAAGAAGCCTATGTCCTGCTCACTAATTGCAAACAATCAGAAGAGACAAAAGTTTTTGAATCGGTGTAAAGGCCTTGATCATCTTGCTCTGTCTGGGAAAATTGGAAGGCAAACGAAGCAGAGGCAGATCCAAATAGCAACTTATTTGAAAAACCTGAACAGATGGGTGATAGTGATAGGGAAAGACCAGAATAAAATTATTTGTTGTTGGTAGTGTGTTTGTTTGTTTGTTTGTTTGTTTGTTTGTTTGTTGTTGTTGTTGTTTTTTTTTTTGGGGGGGGGGGGGGGGGTGAGCATCCGAACGAAGAAATGACTGGTGAACATGATCGCCGATGTTTGTTTCAGATCTGGCACTTGAAGATGGTGATAGTGAGTGTTGAGCCATCTTTGCTTTTTGCTTTAGTTTCCATTGCTCACAGTTGCAAAAGGGGTTCTTATGCACAGTAGAATTGTAAATGGGCTGATTTATCAATGTCATGCTCATACTGTGCCTGAAACGACAGTGGGAACTGCTGCTTTTTCTTTCCTCATTCTTACTGTCACCATTTTCTTCTACTTGTTTTGTATCTGTCACTCTCTTGTGAACTACTAGTTCCGGGGTGCCTTGCTTGTCGAAGCAAACTTTGTGAAGGACTTCTCTGTTGACATCCACCCCTTGGCGCTCATATGACCTTATGCAGTAAAACCTATACTTTAAAAAAAAACTACCTTTAGGAGAAGTTTGGTTTCATTGGTGTGTATATTTGTTTGATTTTAGAGAAAACTCTCCTTGTCATTTAAAGAAAATGAATAAAAATCCAAAAACTTCATCTTCGATTTTCTCAAAACAGCATTTTTCGGGATAGCCCCCTTGTGTTTAAGGGGCACTAGGCACAGCCCAATGAACATTTTTGTTTGGGCTCTAAATTAAGTACACTGGGATTCCCAATAACCGATATGGGTCAAGAAACAGAAACACACAATCCCTATGTGATTTCAGTGTCCATTTTCTGAATTCTTCAGATGCAATGGGTTTGGCAGACCAAAATTCGCACAAATTCTATGCAGGGATTCTGAAAAAGATTGAATTGATACAGCCTTGATAT